TGTGGAGCTCCATCACCGTGTTGTGGCAATCGCCCCCCCCAGTCCGTGACTGCTTTCTCGAGGACAAGTTCCCAAACGTCCGACATAGACGCAGTGGAGCGAAAACGGCTTAGGCCAGGAAGGAGGGGCTGACAAAGGCTATGCAGCATCGCGGGCATCTGCAAAAGCCAGAGTCACTCCCCAAACGGAAAAAAAACAAGCTGAGGCCGAAGTCCTGACAGCCTGACAGTCCTCCGGTCAATGTCCGCATACGATATTATAAAATATCCACCTGTCAGGGTAAAAAACCAGACTGCGGATATCCGCGGATGTCAAGAAATCTCCAGAATCGGCGCGGAAAACGAAGCTACAAAAGAAATTGCATAAGAATCATAGAAACCTGCCACACCCAACCGAACCTCCCCTGCAAAAGACGACAGAGGGACGACAGAAGAGAGGAGGAGATACAGTACCGCAGAGGGAGCAATGCACGCAACACGCGAACCTTACGCTCCCCCCCCGTGCACATAAAAACAAACACACACACACACAGACACACACACACACACACACACACACACACACCACCCAACCACCGGAAAAAACAAGCAACAAAACTGTAGTTGAAAAAGGATGGGCTGGTTGAGCACCGGGCTCAGCGTCTCGGCAAAGGCACCCATAAATGAACAGAATTCTGAGCTTGGTCTTGATCCAGGCTCCATGAACCCGAAACCCCGCAGCCCAAGCCGCACTGCGAGGCACTCGCCCGGGCCGGGCCTCTGCGGCCTTAGTGGCCCGGAGGCTCTTCGTCTGCGCCGTGGGCGCCACGAAGACTGTGCTGCACGAAGCGGCGGCGCCTCGGCAGAATGCATAGTAACGGTAATTCAGTGATAAACCCGCGAGAGTGCTTAATTAATTAACACCCCAGCAAGCCAGTGTGATTTCCAGCCTGCGGCGCCCATCGCGACAGTCACAGCGCGGCCGGTCGAAGCCATCTGCACCGATTAGGAGGACTCCGGCCCAGGTACCCCATAACTGCCGACAACCAGTTGGACTCGAATTTAGAGCAACCCTCACGTCCAGGAGATGTCTTTACGGCAATCGCTGCTTGATTCTTGCAGTGTTGTGCTGCTTCAGGGCACACTGCATTGTCAGGGGGCTCAAGTTGGGATGGCTGGAATCATTCTTGGTTCAACCTTCAGGATCTCAGATTCAGGGAATCTACAGCTAGACATCTTAGCCCTGATCTGATCCGACACCCCTCGACTCCGAAATTCCAAACACTGGGCACTCGTCTTAGCCCGAAAGGTCACAGGATACCAAGTCATGTAGGGGGTGTCTTTCGAGTTCAATCCGCAATCAAGCCATTCAGGTAGGTCTGGGGCACCGGGCGGAAGCAAGGTCAGGCAGAGAAAAGATAAACGTGCAAAGTTTCGCGCGGGGGCGACCTGTTTTTTTAACCCCCCATCTTGTTTTTTGAACCAGGGCCTCCAAAGGCACGTTCGCAGCTTTCACTTGCAACCGTTAACAGGCTTCTGCACTCACGTTTACTACATTAGCAAATTATTCTGTAATTGGTGCTGCAACGCAAGTTTGTTCATCCGTGCTAGGATTGCTAGGATGATGCATGCTAGGAATTGAATGATTTGATAAATGTATAATCTGCGGCCCTTGTTATTTAATTCAACAGTAGACGCAGTAGACGCCGAAACTCAAAAAACTGAAAATATTAAATTATTAGATGCCACCTGCCCCGGGTCACATTGTACATATTCTTCCGTCTTACAGGGGGTGGGGGGGTCAAGCGAACATGGAGGAGGGTTAAAAAACAGGCGTGGAATCAAAAACACGGGGCTCGGGGGTGAAAAAGGCATGCCGCTGGGGTGGGTGGAGCAGAATGGGGGGTCAGCGAAAGGGTTTCAGATCGCGATTTGGGGGGTCGGAAAGGGGGGCTGCGGGGTGAGGAAAACATGCAGGGGGGTTAGGAACACGGGCCTGAGGAGGAGGCTGGGGGGTCAAGCAAGTGGATCGGAGCTCAGGCAGAACTCAGGAAAGCAGGTACTTGTGGGTAGGGCACAACAAGCTCCTGGGGGGTAGGGGGCGGTAGGGCGCGGGGCCTGGGGGGTTGGGGTCAATACAACAAGCTCAGGGGGGTCAAAAAAACCAGGCAGGGGTGAGGGGAGCAGGTTCTTGCGGGTAGCGCAGAGGCCTGTGGGGGGCTGGGGTCAATACAACAGGCTCGAGGGGGTCAAAAAAACGGAGGGGGGTTCAAAAAACAAGATGAGGGGTCAAAAAAATGAGGGGCCCTTCGCGCGGGATGTCCCAAACCTTCTCAGGCAGAAGGGCAAGGGGCGGCAAGGGCTTAGGGTTCGGCTTCCATGCTTGGGTTTGTTCACTCCATGTTAACCTAGCCACGGCACCAAAGCATCTAGCCACCCACTCATGGGAGAATATGTGCGAAGGCTACTCAGGCTAATTACTGCCCATGCTTCATGGGAGTACCAGGATCACCGGGCAAGGACATCCCAAAATACAGGTGCAGCCGCTTCCAAAGTGAAGCTACTGTCCCGGCCACTCTCTGAGAAGCAGGGTGTGTGTGCTCTCAGATGGTTTCAACCATCTTGCTACAGCTATGCTGTGCAGCAATACTCTCACCAACTCGTGGTTTCGGAGTTAAGAGAACAAACCTAAAGCTAACATAAACTTCATAACCAAGCCGCCCAAGCATGCTCGAGGCTTCTTGGCAGCGAGCACTGAGTACTGACAAGCACTGGCAGGCACACTCTTACGTGGAAGATGTAGCCTATAGGCATTCAATAAGAACAAGTCTCATCTGCTTTAAGTGTGATGGTGCTGCGGATACCAGCAGACTCGTCCAGCTCCCCAGAGTTTGACGCAGCTGGTTGCCGGGCCCGAGCTCTTTGCGCTCTGCACTGCTTCCCGGCTTGAGCAGGAAAGGCCCCCAAAAAAAGCAACCGTCTAGGCCGCGCGTTTGACGTTTTCTGCAGAAGCGTCTGTCCCGGCTGCTTTAGACGACACTGTCAGGATCTGTTTCGAAACTTCCAAACAGCCTCTGTCTTCGCAGGGCATTGCACGACTTTGGCATGGATTCAGGGCAAGAGGACGTATAGGATTTCTTAATCAGTGTGGCCAGATAAGCCTCGACGCGAATCAAAGTGTGGCCGTAGCCGTCGCTGCTGGGCGATGTATTGCATCTTCAAGTTTGACAGCTTTTTCGCTGTGCTGTCTTCTTTGGGGTGTTGCGTATCCCATGGTATGGTAACTAAGTGATAGCTTGCCCTGGCAGACACCAATCAATACCTGAAGCCAAAAGCAACAGTCCCGAAAACGCTGGCGTGAGATGTTGAGGAATTGTAGGTAAACCCCTCCTCAACAAGCTTCAGACTTATCACAACCGCCGAAGTTCTAGTCCACGGCCCCAAGCGACTAACAACCCTCAGCCCTCAACCAACACACCAAAAGCCCGCACGCTGGCTTTGCGGCTTTCACTTTGAATGCTGCGTCTCTTTCTCGCGACTCAGCGATAACATCAGGTCGTGTGCCCGGGTGAAATCTTTCTCACCTCGCTGCTTGGCTGCAGAGCCGATTTGGGCTTTAAGGTGATCGGAAGAAACGGCTGAGGTCAAGGATCAAAGCAGAGCTACGCAGAGCTCAAAGGATTTGAAGTTTGCGGGTTTGGTCGATACAGAGATTCGCCTGTCATTCAGGGTTTCTCAGTGTATGTTGGGCAAACGATTGTGGTTTCTGGCTGCCTATGTATAATCTTCTTCCCTGAAGTTTTGCAGTCCCCAATTGCGGAAACATCAGGCACGGACATTACTTCATGACCACATGCCAACCAGAAGCAACTCATGACTCATGATTCAACGTCGAACTCTGGACACTGAAATGCCCTTCAAACCCTGCAAGTGCCGCGAAGCCCGAAACTCCGACCGAGAGATTTTGTCAAGACAGGAAATCACAGAAACACACCAGTTGAGGCCCACGTCTAGAGCTCGGGTCTTTGGGGGGGGGGGGCATCATGCTGCAAAAACCGACAACCGGCAAATACTACTATGAACAAGTCGAGTCCCTGCTACAAAATTACTGTACCACCCCGAGACCACGGGCCCCAGACCTGACTGCAGCCGTTGGGAGTTGCAGAAAAGACGAGACGCGGATAAAAGCGCTGAGCACTATGTGATCGAATCCTTGTGATACGAATGCCGAAGTAAGGTGTCCCTAGTTGTGAAAACCGTCAAACAAAAATTCTTGGGCCCCGGGCCGCGGCCAGGCTGTACAGGCACGACAGTCTTCATAAAATCTGCATGAGAGCAAGGGCTACCGCATGCCACCGCGCAGAGTAGGAAAGACAGGGTTTTAGCGCATCAAGGTTCGTATAGGGTGAGCCTACATGGAGACATCGAGCGCGAAATCTACACAGAGGAGACAAGGTCCCCATGCAGTAAGTCCACGACCCGGATTTGGGGCCCAAAGCTTCGATTCGGCAGTTCTAGTTATTCGGGGGGCACAAGGTTTTTAGATGTTGAAAGCATGTTGGGTGATGAATGAAGAAACGTCCCGAAAATTCAGATGGGGTTCAGGTTTTGCTTCGGGTCCGGCTTCGGATGCCGAGCAGCTCCTGAGTTACAGTCAGAAGACACGCACTCCTGCATCAGATGCAGCGAACTTATTATAATATCAGGGCATATTAAGGTCAGGGCACGTGCAGCTTCAAGACGTTCAATTCCGACTCGAATCCGGCGGCAGAAATCACTACATATCTAACACACAAAACTGAACCCACTCTTGAAATCGCGTGCACGGCCTGCTAAAGACCCGGCATGGATGGCCGGGTGGATCCTGTCATCCCGTGGTCAAAAAAGATGAAGTTCTGGGATCAACGGCATAAACGAATACTTGTCGTAAAAATCACATACACGCATACACTTAGACATATACACCTTGTGTTCAGGGTTCGTTGTTGTGGGACAAATCCCAGCCTGAAGTTCTGAAAAGTTTCAGCGCAAGGGCGAGGCGGTGTAGTTGGCCCAATCGCCCCAAGCGCTGCCAGTAAGACCATCCTATGCGCAACTGTCATGCAACATGCTTGCGGCAGACTTATGTGTGGCTGAGTTTGTGCCTGAAAGAACATGCCGATGATGGCCATCATCGCAAGCCTTCCGTTCGCCAGCTCTGCCGACAACGTTTTGGTCTTCTCGGCTGGGTCGCTGGAGGTCAAGACCTTGAAGCCGAAGTCGCCCGCTGCGGCTGGGGTGCCGGGAGACTGGTCTTGGGAAACTTCGCAAAAAGCCATGTAGGCGAGGATCTGTCCCCATCCTGCGGCAGGCACTTTGGAGATCGCAGCCAATCCGTTTGGAACATCGGCGAATTTCAGGCCAGCGGATGGTGACAAGTACCCAGGGAACTTGCCGGTGATCCTTATTGCCAACTGAAGCGAATCAACATGTTACATGTCAGCGATGCGTTTAACTGAAATACACGGACGCAAACGTCGAAAATCACGGCAATGGCCACTCCCACCAGTCCCAAACGAAGGCAAACCGAAAACAAGGATAGACAAATTTCGCAGTGGACAACGCTGCCAAAGCAAGAGACGCTGCGAAGCTGCCCCGGACCATTTTAAACTTTAACATCGCGATCCGAAGGTCAAAACCGTAAACCCCAATGATTAAAGTAAATCGGAAGCAATAATCCCGAAACCTTGGTCCTGTTGCTCTCCACTCATAGAGACCCGAACAACCGAACAAGGAGAGCACCTACCCGAAACTACAGCAATCTACCAAAATCGACACGAAACTGCGAAAACCTAACAAAAACCGTGCAAAACGACCGAAACTTCCCAAACCTTCTGCAAAAAAACTTGGCAAAAACTTGCATGTGTTACACACAAAACTCCCCAAAGCTACAAAAATCCAGGTTTTGAACATGCCAATCTGGCTCGCGTTTTTTCCTACGTGCCCCTTGTCCTGGGGAAGGTAATGCCGCCCTTTTTTCGGGGCGAACATGAGTCGGAATGCATGCAGTGTAATTTGTAACGAAAAACAGCAAAAAAACAGATAGCATGGAGCTGCATTGACCCTGCCAAGCTTTCAGTATTTGGGGGCTGTCAGAGTATAATCCCCGGCATGTATACTAAATTTAAAATATGTATGCCATTACCATCGGAAAAACTTCGGAAACTGCTGGTGTGTTCTGGTAGGTCTGTTTGGGCAGGTTTTGGGAGTTTCCAGACGGTTTATGCAGAATCTAGATGTTTCGGGAAAGGTTTAGAATGTTTCTGAAAGTGTTCAAGACATTTCGTCATGACTGCGAAGCGTTTTGAAGTTTGGTGCCCGGCGTACGAAAGCCTTTTTGAAAACATACCCTTAGCGGGGCGAAGATTTGCCCTCCTTGAAGGCCGGAAGACCTAACCCTAAGCTCTACAGCCACCCCTATGTCTGACACGCGCTGCACGTCAGGCTTAATCACCCTCCAGTGGCGGAGGACCGCTTGGAAGAGGGCGGGTGTGGCCCCAGACCTCCAACAGATGCCGAAGCGCAAGCACAGCATCGATCGTACCCTGTCCACGCCTGAATCCCATTTCGGAGGCAATGCACATATGCTCCACCACAGGGAGCACGCCCTCATTATCAGGGCCCTACTCACCATTTTTGACAATATGTCAAGGAGGATTCCATGGTGGTTATCGAAATGTCTTGAAAATCATCCTTACCTTTAAAAATGGGCACTAAAGCTGACTTCTTCCAGCGCTCATTTGAGAGCGGGCGGTCGCTCCAGTACTCACACACAAGGTGGTGCATGTGGGAAAGTGGGCCTTGAGCCTGCAGATCATCATGCACGAGTGCGTGCAGCAGTTCTGCGTGGACTCCAGAGGAATCCGGAGCCTTGCCACGAGCAGGCTTGCGCATGCAATCGCAAAGCTCCTGGACAGTAGGCAGATCCGAAAGGCCAGGCGCAACCTCAGAGCAATCGTGGACCGGCAGTGCCTGCCAAGTGGCATCCGCAACATGCCTGTCAACGTTTAAAATCTGCTCAACGTGTGTGGAAAACGGTTGCTTTCAGCAGCTCTGTCGGCACAGAGTGGCCTACAAAGACAGGACAACCCTGGACTATGCCCCTGCCAAATGACAAGGCCGAGCCAAAGCCAGTAGGCTGCTTGAAGAAGGGCACGAGGCGTCTGTAAAAATTACCAAGGCAGTTGACAAGATTAGAGGAAGACCCATCCGAGAGGCAAGCGGCAAATTCAAAATGATCTCATGTAACGGGACAGGGTCAAAAACCTTGGCATTGTCAAGCATGCAGCCTGCGAGATCAGTACCATTGATCATGGCGTGTTCAACGTGCAAAGCAAGCGGGTATCATGCGTCCACGTATTCCTTAAGCGGCCTGAACCCCGATTGAGAAGGGTGGTGTGCCCATAGCTTTTGCCAAGAGAGGAGCTCTTCCAGGCGACAGCTAGCCCATAATCTATAAACGACGCTTAAAATGGACAAGGGTCTCACGGAAGAGGGGAATCCATCCGAGTCAGGTTTGGGAATCAGACAGAAATATTCCTTAGAAAGGGACTCTGGCCACACACCAGAGGACTCGATTTGGTCATAGAGCACACAAAGGCCGTCAAAGAAAACATCAGGCAGTGCTTTAAGGGACGAAACTTCCAGCAGTCCAGACCTGCCGCAGAAAAGGATGACATCCAGGGTCTTGCGTAAACGGCGAGCAGTTAAAGGCTTTATAGGGAGAGTGCGGGTAGGAGCGGAATTAGAAAGCCGTAACGGTCCAGAAAGGAGCCCCAAGAAGGGAAAGGCTCTTCGGCACCGCGCTGCAGGATAGGGAGCCAAGCATCGCGCACGAGGGCATCAATCGTCTTAGGGCTGGACGTGAAGGAGTCACCATGCCTGAGGAACATTTGGGAGCACCTATCAGGCCTATTAAACCACTTAAAAGTTTCCCTTTTGTGGGAGTGAAAATCCATTTTGATTTTTAGGCACCACTTATTGAGTGCCTCGTAATCCCTTTCAGCGCTGAGACGGTCTGCAAGCTTCATAGCTTCATCACGACAGGACGGCAGAGAGGCGAGGGAAAGTTGCAGGTCAAGAGACAAAGCACGCTTCTGAGCAAGTTGCCAGAGGTGAGTGAGGCGATGTGGCCAGGAACCACCCCCTGCAGGTAGGCTGGGGGAGACTCCCTCCAAGTGTCTACAGAGTTGCTGCGGCATCTTTCTTTGACGGTGGTATATGGTCACCGCCAACTTTAGCCGGACGAGACACCGCAGCAGCGGGCTGCGAGAAGAAGTGGCGAAGATTGGCTTTAGAACGACCGAAAGCTTCAGCCAAACTGGAGAGCATCAGAAACATGACCCATGCTCCCGCACGTCTTTGGCTCATCAGGAGGATGCACCAGTCAAGAAAAGCAGGCCAGAAAAGTTCAAAAATGTTTCCAGGCCTGAAAAGCTCATAAGCAGTTCAAATTTCCAGGCCTGAAAAGTTCATAAAGTTCATATTCCCAGGCCTGAAAAATTCAAAAAACTCATATTTCCAGGCCCGAAGAGATCATGAAAAGTTCAGATTTCCAGGCCTGAAAGTGCACACGCGCACACACATACACACACACACATCTCACCAACCAACCACCACACCTCTCACTCCACCACGTGGCTGCACCCTACCCCACCCGACCCGCCACCCCACCTCACCACGCCGCCCCACCGCCCCACCCCCACCCCACCTCACCAGGCCAGCGCCCCACCACCCGACCACCCCGCCAGACCACCCACCACCACACCAAGCCTTCCCTTTGAAAGCACCAGGGGGTAACCGGGGTAACCCAGACCCATGCTTCGTCCTGTTCATCTCATCCTGTGAAAGCGGCATCCAGATCTGCATAGCCGGTTTGGGGTCGTCACGCTGCGCCTCCTTCAGCTTGGGGAGGATGGAGATTTTGGCCAAGTTGTTGATCCGGAGAGCTTGTAGCCCACAACGAACCGTAACCCGAATGTCAAAAATGTGAGCATCCTGTCACTTCCTTGCGATCGGGAAGACACCCTGGAGCCCCTCTTTGTTGCAACCCACCATCCATTCATCTCTCATAGCAACCGGGGCAGCTTCTGAGACCACCGGGTCGACCTTGGGGAGTTTGCAGCCCAGACCAACTGGCCGACAGTTTCCTCAAGCCCCCAAAAACTCCCAGCTTCCCTGATCCAGCTTGCGTGCGGGTAACAAGCACCGGAACACATTTGACACGGATCCCGGACCCTCGTGAAGGAATCCCACTCCCCCATGCAGTTCGCCAGATTCTGACCAAATCAGGCAATCAAGTCTCAAGTGGACAACCAAATACTTCCGAATCATGCACAATATTTCCAAGTCATGCAAACTCGTTTAAAATACTTCAGCTCTCTGTTCTCACCCTCAGAAAATACTTTCCTGAAGAAATACCTCAATTGCAATTTTAACGAAACAATCTTCGCAAACAGCGAACTGCAACACGTGACAACACCAAACATCTGTTCTGCATCTCCCGAAACCAACACCTAGCACACGCCATCAACAGAAAAACCTCATTCTAAGACAGACAGACAGCAAGTAACTGAATCAAGCACATGACCGCAGCAATAATTAATCCAAGCAGCTCACCCTCCGTTCCTCTCTGAGTCAAGCTAACCGCGAACCATTGCTCAAGCCATGCTGTGAGACTGCAGTACGATTACTAAAGGGTTTGGAACGCGACAGAGCCTCTAAACACCAAAAAACACCTGGACTAGACACTTCCTAAGCAAAATTTTTGAGGGGAACGGCGTATGCCTCTAAAAAACTTTAGGGACGTGCGTCATACTTCAGTACGGTTGTATACCTGAACCACTGCTCTAGCTTTCATACATACGACTCTTGCATTCCATACAGTTCGGTGAAACTTTCAGGCCCTAGGCCTTGCTTTGCTGACCGCAGCCCTCAGTTCGCCCCACGGCGGCCAACCTCGCCCCCTCTGGAGTTGCCACCCTTGTTTCCCTTGCCTTTGCCCTTCCTCCCACCTTTGCCTTTCCCCCCTCCTCGGCCCGTGGACG